GGTTAAGAACCATTGAGTTAAGCAATTAAAATTGGTTTCACCAAACCATCTGACGGTTGGTAGATTTTTAATGACAATGTTTCAAATTTTCTAAAATTCAAACTGTAAGAACGAATATTTCCATTAAAAGCATGACAGCAGTAATTCTATTCTTAAATCACGGGTCAAGTTTCAGAAGTCCATTGTTAAACAATTTTCTTCGTCTCACCTTCAAGTTGGACTGGTCACATTTTTTTCAAAAGTGACTATACTATTAAATGAAAATATCCTTGAAGGTTTGGCGTAATACAATCTTCTAATCATTACCCTTCCATCCATTTTAACTTATGCTCCACTAAGCCAAGTTTAGTTTTCGATATCATTAGAATTCTTCTATTTGCCTTGTCCTTTCAAGACACTGGCGATCATGCCCCCCCCCCCAAGTTCCTGTTCTTTGTAGCACTTACCCTTAATAGATTTTGTCATCTTCCTTAACATTACTCCGCCATCCATTTACTCAAGCTCTGTAAGTAGGTTATGCGTTGTTTTCTTCTGTCTCTTCAATCTGTCTTGTGAGTATCAATGGTTCCAAGAACTCTTTACTCATTATGTGCGCTAGAAATTTCAATTGTCTCTTCCTGATGTTAAGTATAAGTGTCCTCCTTGTTTTCATTTTCTCTAAAACTTCGTCGTTGCTCACATGTTCGGTCCATAGTATTCACATTATCCTTCTGTAGAACCACAATTCAGTTGATTCAAGTCTCTTCTTCATCTGTGAGGAGATTGCCCAACATTTACTGCCATATAGGAGGACTGATATTACATAACAGTTCAGTACTCTTTTCTTTGTTTCTAACGAACTTTTTCTGTCTCTTAATACTCTTAGCTTTTAGAAGGCATCTTTCGCTATCCTAATGCACCTTCGGATTTTAGCGTCGCACTTTTCGTCCTCTGTTAAAGCACTTAAATTTTTTTTACTTGTTTCATTTTGTTATTTCCAATTCGTAATTTGAATTCGGGGCAGTTCCTTTTGCTAATAACCATGCATTTAGTCTGCTAGGAATTGATATTTAATCCCTCTTGCTTTCCTTCACTATCTTCTATAAAAGATCTTGAAGTTTCCTTTCTGTGTTTGCTACCAACACTGTACCCCTCTGCATGGCTTATATTGGTTAAGATTGTGGCCACCAGTAAGTCCTGGTAGGACTTGTAATTCACTCACAATAGGTTGAAGAAGCTCGATGAGAAGACACATCCATGTCTTCCCTTTCTTTTTGCGTAAGGGTAATATATTTAACTCCCTTCGGTTGCACTAATATCGCCAAAATACAACGGCTGGTGGATGTACGACAATAAATAAAGACAAATATCAATTGAGGTGTCGAAAATTTTAAAATTAATTAACCTTTGATCTGCGACTAATATAATATATGCTGTAATTAATTCATCTGTAAGAGGGGCGGTCATTAAATATCACCTGTTTTAATTTTAAATACATTAGAAAGCCTTGCGTTTTAGCTATAACCCACGAATTGTGTAGAAGCATAAAGGAAAAAAAATTGTAGCCTTACAGTTTCTTTAGCCATAGTCCTCATTCAAAATTACTGCCCCTTCTATGTGCCGCGTCCCTTCAGGACAAAGGAAGTAGTGGAGGGCCATGATCGCTTATCTCATCACAAACATGTCAGGTAAGTGGCTTGCTGCTATCTCCTCTCTTGCTCTCAATATGCCCCGTGAGGGTTGAACTTTCCAAGCCTTCCTTCCTCGTTATGTGCCCAAAGATTTTCAGCTGCCTTTTCCTGGTTCTGAGAAGAAGTGTCCTTTCTGTTGCCATTTTCAAGACTTTGCTTCACATCAAAAAAGAAAAGAGCTCTCATAGAATTTGATTTGGAAGGATAAAGTGCTGCAGATATTCACGAGAAGATAATAAACGTTTATAGGAAGTCTATACATGACGTGCGTTATAGCGTAAACGTTAAGAAGGAGAAATCCGAGAACCGAGTTCAATTTTCAGTCGGGTTCGATATATTAATTTACACGCAAATACACTTCTCTACCCCAGCTATGAGTTGAATGGCAGAAGAGACTGGGTCCTATAGCTTTGGTCGGCAATCAGTCTACCGCACAAAGAAACGGCAACCTACTGCGGGAAGATCTTTTGTCTTGTCAATCATGAATCGAAAGAGACATGATCGCTCAAGCGTTTATCCCGTATGGTCACCTGAATAACTGACGCATGATGTCATCACAGTAGGGAGACAGGTCCACAGAATGAATACAAAATGAAACTTAGTGACGGGCGCGCAGTGGCAGGACACCTGCTGCTGTTAATGAGGCTAACGCCCAAAATACTGATGCTCCTATTACAGCTGAGAGACGAATCGCCTTTTCAGAACTATGAAATTCGTCAGGTATTGTCTGTAGTTTAGCAGTTACTTGAGGCCTGTATAAAGTGAGTTTCTAAAATGCTGACAGGGAACAAAGGATGAGTGCTGTTGAATAACCGTACAACCAACTGCACCTTCCTAAGTACTTACATGACTATGGTTGTTAAATGAGGATGAAGAAGTGAAAGAGGCAATTCCCACTGGTCACTAAATAAGTAATGTAAATCAGTAATAGAATGTAAAAACCAAAACAAAACGACAATTGACAGCTAATAATAAAATAAAAGTACAAAGAAAAAAATATGTCTTAAAATATATATTTAGTTACGTGGAAAGTTTTTGCGGTTTCCAAATAAAATTAATATTCTAGAAACCGCGAGAACTTTCCTAGCAACCAGATACGATACCCGAATAGGAATTCATGGGGTGGTGGGGTGGAGACACACACACAGCGGACATAATCCTAGCCTCTTATCCTAAAAGTGAACAAAATCCCAGTCTCATATTTTTTCTGGCTTACAAGACGCACACTTTTTTCCTAAAAAAATACATGTGCGTTTTCAAAGACGAATGTAAGGCAACGTCCAAGCTCAAGTAAACTTGGACGGTCACCTAATTGGTTGGACTGATAAGGACGTAGATTTCTATGTTGAGTCATTTACACTAATGTTAGCTATCTAATTTAGCCTTTTATATGATAACATCAGTACTTAGGTGTTACCGTTATTTCCAAGACTATAAACCCCCCTGGAGCCGAGTCACAAGCTTAAACATGCTCCGTTTCCTAGCAGCGGCGGGAGCCTTTCTGCTCTTGACTAGTCATTGTCATACAAACAAAATCGGACGAATGATTAATGTAAATAATACGTGACGCCAGTATGCGAGAGACAAGTCACAAATGTGTTGCTGTATGTGAATGACATTTCTTTTTTGTTTAGGAATTTCTTTTTTGTTTAGGAATTTCTTTTCAATTTTAGGGTGCGTCTTCTACGTCGCAGCGTCTTGAAGGCCCTTCGCCTTATAGTGATTTTCCAAGCGTAGCTTAGATGTGGCACAAGGCCAAAAGTAGGGGGCACCCAGTGAGGATCGAACTTACTACTCAATCGTAATTGTTCCTGCGCGTTCAAGCTTGCTAAGCATTACACCACCTTTAGGTACCCCCTGTTGTCATAAGATATATAACTGAACATATTCGTTGTAAGCTGCTATTCATAATTAAACAAAAATGAAGCATAGAGTTGTAAGAAATAAATAAGCATATTGGATGTTGTGTTTATTGATTAAATTTGACATTAAAGTTTGAAAATTCAAAGAATTTTGAATTCAAAGTTAAATTTCTTTCTTTTTATATATGCCACTTATTTATGAGACTTGGATTTTGTGCAGTTACCCTTACTACTCTACTGGCTGTTGAAAAGTTTTTCACCCCTACTATAAAAGTGCCCACGGGATGGGAATTAGGAGAAAGGGCAAAGGTTATTCGCAAATTTGTTTATAAAATTTCAACTATCCAAGCAGAATGAGTAAATGTAGAAATGCGAGTGTTTAATTATTAATCGAATTAAGGAATTAATCGTTCACTCGCCAGTAATTTACAATCGCCTGAGGAAATTTATATATGTAATAAAAATATTTGACATCGCTACACAAAAGCTTTCATGTTTCAGTACTATGTACTTCATCAGGTGATGGTAGATAACTTGTGGTAAAAAAATGGTTTATTTGGGAAATTTGTTACAAATCGTTACATCTTTTTGGAAGTTAAAAGTCGGGCATAAGGTCAGAATTAAAAATAAATGCTTGTGGGTATGTCCAGATAATATATGATATATATATATATATAGATAGAGAGACCATTCTTTCTTTTAGATACACTTACATGCAAAATACCCTCTCCCTTATAAACTTACAAAAGTAAAGCGAACATTATCGTTTCGTTCATAACTACATGGTCTAGCAGTTCTTTAGTGATTTACCTCATGGTTAAAATAAGGCAGACGTTTTTCAAACCTAGGTAAAATCTGGAATTTCTATTGCTGATTTTCGCAGGAAACAATTTTTTCGTTCCACTCACACATCCTCCCTCCCCCACCCCGTATAGACGACGTTCCGTACTACCCAGCTAAGTGTACTTGTGTCGAAGCCATGGACAGAAATAAAAGATCAAATTTCTCATATGAAGCAATTCTTTTTTTTTTTTCATTTTAATTCTGTTCATCTTATTTTTGTTGCTTTTTATCGTAACATTCAAGTTTTTTTTTCTTACATTTTGCGATCCTTTAAGAACAGAAAAAATAAAAATAATTCCTATGCATTACGTATTTAATAATAAATACAGTAAATAAAGGTATCGGAAACATTCGGAAATTAAAAGCAATCTTGGCGTCCATGTAAATTGTGTCAAAAAACCGAGTGTCTCCATTAAAAAGGGGAAAAAAATCGTGTGACCAGTATTTACAATTTCTGTTGATAGATAAAAAGTGGCAGGCACTGACAAATACTTTTGCCTCACCTACTTAAAGGAAAGCATTTCCCTTTTGCTAGCAGTCCTTTCTTTATGTGGGGGTGTGGGGGAGGGGTAAAGACTTTAAGCGATCAGTTTGGGTCGAGCTGAGAGGGAGTCAACAAACTGACGAGAAGTGGCAGTGAAGAATCCCTACTTTTTCTTTAAAAAACAAAAAGAGAGTTGCGATAAAGAAAGACGCATAGATGATGAAGAACATCTGGTAAAAAAAAAAAAAAAAAAAAATAATATCAAATTTCACTTGTGCGTCGATCGTTTCTATTCATTTTAACCTATTTGCTTCATAATAAGAAATGGAAAAACTATTCTGCACAAATCTTATTTCTTTCGAGGTACTTTTCCGTCCGCCATGAAAGAAAAAAGTATTGAAGACCAAATTAATTCGCAGCCGGATTGTATTTTAATACACATACGAATAATTAAATAAATCATTCTAAGTAATACACACACACATATACATTATACACACACACACACATATATATATATAATATAAACAAACACACATTATACGTACGCACATATATATAATATAAACACACACACATTATATACACACAATATAAACACACACACATTATACACACACATAATATAAACACACACATTATACACACACACATATATATATATATATATAATATAAACACACACACACATAATATAAACACACACACACAATATAAACACACACACACATATTATAAACACACACACATAATATAAACACACACACATAATATAAACACACACACATAATATAAACACACATATATATAATAAACACATTATACACACACACATTATACACACACATAATATAAACACATATATATAAACACACACACACACACACATATAACACACACATATATAAACACACATATATAATATAAACACACACATATATATAATATAAAAAGACACATTATACACACACAAATATAAACACACACACACATAATATAAACACACATTATACACACACACACACATATATACTATAAACACACACACACATTATACACACACACACGTATATATACTATAAACACACACACATTATACACACAGACATATATAATATAAACACACACACATTATACACACACACAATATAAACAAACACATTATACACACAATATAAACACACACACATTATACACACAATATAAACACACACACATACACACACACACACAATATAAACACACACACATAATATAAACACACACACATTATACACACACGCATATATAATATAAACACACACACATTATACACACACACACACATATATATATAATATAAACACACACACATTATACACACACACATATATATAATATAAACACACATTATACACACACATATATATAATATAAACACACACATAATATAATATAAACACACACACATAATATAAAATAAACACACACATTATACACATACACATATAATATAAACACACACACATTATACACACACACATAATATAAACACACACACATTATACACACACACATAATATAAACACACACATTATACACACACACACATATAATATAAACACACACACATATAATATAAACACACACACATTATACACACACATATAATATAAACACACACACATTATACACACACATATAATATAAACACACACACATTATACACACACATAATATAAACACACACACATTATACACACACATATAATATAAACACACACACATTATACACACACATATAATATAAACACACACACATTATACACACACATATAATATAAACACACACACATTATACACACACATATAATATAAACACACACACATACACATACACACACATATATATGAACACACACACACACATATATATATGAACACACACACACACACATATATAAACATACACACATATATAAACACACATTATACACACACACACATATATATATAATATAAACACACACATTATACACATATATATAATATAAACACACACATTATACACATATATATAATATAAACACACACACATTATACACATATATATAATATAAACACACACACATTATACACATATATATAATATAAACACACACACATTATACACATATATATAATATAAACACACACACATTATACACACACATATATAATATAAACACACACATTATACACATATATATAATATAAAAACACACACATTTATACACATATATATATAAACACACACACATAAACACACACATATATATAAAACACACACATTATACACATATATATAATATAAACACACACACATTATACACACACATATATAATATAAACACACACACATTATACACACACACATATATAATATAAACACACACACATTATACACACACACACATATATAATATAAACACACACACATTATACACACACACACATATATAATATAAACACACACACATTACACACACATATATATAATATAAAACACACATATTATACACACACACATATAATATAAACACACACACATTATACACACACACACACATATAAACACACACACATTATACACACACACACACATATAAACACACACACATTATACACACACACACATTATACACACACACACACATATATAAACACACACACATATATATAATATAAACACACACACATTATACACACACACACATATATATAATATAAACACACACACACATTATACACACACACATATATATAAACATAACACATATACACACACATTATACACACACACACATTATACACACACATATAATATAAAACACACACATATACACACACACATATATATATATAAACACACACATATATATGAACACACACACACACATATATATATAATATAAACACACACACACACACACACACACACATATATAATATAAAACACACATTATACACATATATATAATATAAACACACACACATATATACATATAAATAATACACATTATACACACACACATATATATAATATAAACACACACACATTATACACATACACACATATAATATAAACACACACACATATATATAATATAAACACACACACACACACACATATATAATATAAACACACACACATTATACACATATATATAATATAAACACACACATTATACACACATACATAATATAAACACACACACACATATATAATATAACACACACATTATACACATATATATAATATAAACACACACACATTATACACACACATATATAATATAAACACACACATTATACACACACACATATATAATATAAAACACACACATACATACACACACACACACATATATAATATAAACACACACACACATTATACACACACACACACATATATAATATAAACACACACACATTATACACACACACACACATATATAATATAAACACACACACATTATACACACACACACATATATAATATAAACACACACACATTATACACACACACACATATATAATATAAACACACACACATTATACACACACACACATATATAATATAAACACACACACATTATACACACACACACATATAATATAAACACACACATTATACACACACACACATATAATATAAACACACACACATTACACACACACACATATAATATAAACACACACACATTATACACACACACACATATAATATAAACACACACACATTATACACACACACATATAATATAAACACACACATTATACACACACACACATATAATATAAACACACACACATTATACACACACACACATATATAAACACACACACATTATACACACACACACACATAATAAAACACACACATATTATACACACACACATATATATAAACACACACACACATATATAATATAAACACACACATTACACACATATATATAATAAAAACACACACACACACACACACACATATAATATAAACACACACATTATACACACACACATACATAATATAAACACACACACATTATACACACACACATATATATAATATAAACACACACACATTATACACACACATATATATAATATAAACACACACACATTATACACACACATATATATAATATAAACACACACACATTATACACACACATACACATATATATAAACACACACACATTATACACACACACACACACATATATAATATAAACACACACACATTATACACACACATATATATAAACACACATACATTTTATATACACACATAATATAAACACACATACATTATACGCACATAAACACACATACATTATATACATAATACACAAACATTATATACATATATATAAAGAACATAATAACCTCATACACATGTAAGAAAAGATAAAAAATAATGGAAGCCTTAATAATAAAAAAGAAAAAGTCAACCCTCAATAATATTAACTACGAAACCGGCCACAATGTGCTGTGTTCGGAAAATAAAACATCCCTATAACTATATAGAAGTATATACGTACATCCATACATCCAATTAAAAAATAAAATCATCCTTGATAATGGCTAGAATTATAGCGGAAAGTGTTCGGAATTACAACATTTGGACAGTTTCTACACACACTGTGTCCAAAAAAGAAAACACTTGTTCGAGCACAAGAAAAATTAAATAAAAGACTTAATCTTGGTACCTTGTCTGTCGTCTTTATTGAAACATGTATAAATGAAGGATTGCTGCCTAAATACTCAATATATGAAGAAATATATGGGTATGCTATATTTATGGGATAAGGTGCTCAATATCAGAGAGAGAGAGAGAGAGAGAGAGAGAGAACGTATGTAAATATAAAAGTCGGCGTTGAAGTCAACACTAAGATAGATAGGTACAAATACACACACACTCATCTAAGAAGATTTGCTAAAGAAAAAAAAAAGAACATACATGATGAAAAATGCTCAAAACTTAATAGAAACAAAGTTTTATCGTCAAAATCTTTGTGTTATTATCAAGAGGAAATAACCAAAGGATATTTTTTTAATCTTTTTTTTTTTTAAGAACCTTCGAAATGTTTGCTTTTCACACTAAAAATTTCCCTTCATATGTGAACGGACTTGTCGGCGTACGCAGATGAAAATTTATCAGAAAATGCCAAGCACGAGATAACTCGTCGTTATCAGTTTTTATTATGACGCCGTCTACGAGGTAAGCAGTCAATGTGTTAAAAGAAAAAAAAAAAAGAAAGTCCCAGCAGCTTAGAATTTCATAGCTATGATGCGATATACCATGCTCTGGCTGGAAAATTATCACCTATTCAATTCGTATTCGTTTGGTAAGGAGTAAATTTCACCCAGACAGCCATTTCACAAACAACTGTTGCTTTTTGTGGAACAGACTCCTGAGAGGATGTTTCCCTGATCACGACTATTTTAATCTATTAAAATGATATCTCTCCTACATATCCTCATAATATGCATTTATTTTCTTCACATGGGGAAAAAAAAAAAAAAAAAGAGAAATGGGAAAAAAAAAAAAAAGAGAAAGAGAAATGGGGGGGAAGAGAAAGAGAAATGGGGGAAAGAGAAAGAGAAATGGGGAAAAAAGAGAAAGAGAAATGGGGGAAAAAAGAGAAAGAGAAATGGGGGGAAAAAGAGAAAGAGAAATGGGGGGGAAAAAGAGAAAGAAAGAGAAATGGGGAGAAAGAGAAATGGGGAAAAAAAAGAGAGAGAAATGGGGAAAAAAGAGAAAGAGAAATGGGGGAAAAAAAGAGAAAGAGAAATGGGAAAAAAAAGAGAAAGAGAAATGGGGAAAAAAAAAAGAGAAAGAGAAATGGGGAAAAAAAAAAAGAAAGAGAAATGGGGAAAAAAAAAAAGAGAAAGAGAAATGGGGAAAAAAGAGAAAGAGAAATGGGAAAAAAAAAAAGAGAAAGAGAAATGGGGAAAAAAAAAAAGAGAAAGAGAAATGGGGAAAAAAAAAAGAGAAAGAGAAATGGGGGAAAAAAAAAGAGAAAGAGAAATGGGGAAAAAAAAAAGAGAAAGAGAAATGGGAAAAAAAAAAAGAGAAAGAAATGGGGGAAAAAAAAAAGAGAAAGAGAAATGGGGAAAAAAAAAAAAGAGAAAGAGAAAAAAAAATGGGGAAAAAAAAAAAAAAGAGAAATTTGGGGAAAAAAAAAGAAAGAGAAATGAAAAAAAAAAAAAAAGAAAGAGAAATGGGGAAAAAAAAGAGAAAGAGAAATGGGGAAAAAAAAAAAGAGAGAGAAATGGGAAAAAAAAAAAAAGAGAAAGAGAAATGGGGAAAAAAAAAAGAAAGAGAAATGGGGAAAAAAAAAAAAGAGAAAGAGAAATGGGGAAAAAAAAAGAGAAAGAGAAATGAGGGAAAAAAAAAAAAGAAAGAGAAATGGGGAAAAAAAAAGAGAAAGAGAAATGGGGAAAAAAAAAGAGAAAGAGAAATGGGGAAAAAAAGAGAAAGAGAAATGGGGGAAAAAAAAAAGAAAGAGAAATGGGAAAAAAAAAAAAAGAAAGAGAAATGGGGAAAAAAAAAGAAAGAGAAATGGGGAAAAAAAAAAGAGAAAGAGAAATGGGGAAAAAAAAAAAAGAGAAAGAGAAATGGGGAAAAAAAGAGAAAGAGAAATGGAAAAAAAAAAGAGAAAGAGAAATGGGGGAAAAAAAGAAAGAGAAATGGGGAAAAAAGAGAAAAGAAATGGGGGAAAGAGAAAAGAAATGGGAAGGAAAGAGAAAGAGAAATGGAAAAAAGCGAAAAAAGAAAAATAAACGAAAAAAGAAAAGAAAAAGAAAAATCAGGTTGACAATAAAAAATTACTGCAAAACTTTGTTGATTTAAGATGGAATGATCTCTTATGGCATGTCTCTAATTTGTATTTAGATACATTGCATTTATTTTCAATTTTTCTAATTGAATTGTTCACCTATATTGCATAGGATCCGTTATTGTACATGTAGAGATTATAATAAAATTAATATTTTATATAAATACTACTTTATGAAAATTGAGATGACTTGGATGCGGTGAACCTATGATATCCCACTCTACGATTCTTCACCATTGATAAAGAAATAACATTGTTGAGTTGTAGAATTCAGTACCATTTTAACATCCGAGTTCTCTAGATAGTATCAACCATACATACACACATTGCCCAGCTACCCTATTTTTTCCTCATCCCTAACCTGCTGATGTTCTGCAGGTATCACTATTTTTAGAAAGAAGGGCTTCTCTTCCAAAATAGATTTCCTCACTCTATATTACAAGCAAGGCTAGGCTGAGAGGTGTCGGTTTTATTGCTCCTCTCAGCCTGCTTCGTCTATTTGTGAACTTTTCTAACAAAACAACAGCGAACAAAGATAAACATTGAGATATATATATATATATATATATATATATATATATATGTGTGTGTGTGTGTGTGTGTGTGGGATGTATTTATTTCTTTACAAATATTAGTCTCATTAAACGCTTAATAAATCTCCAAAAGGCGCCTCCATGTAGAATTGACAACAAAAAAAAAAAAAAAAAAAAAAAATTAAAAAAAGAACCCAAGATGCTTTCAGTTAGTGCAGTAAGGTAACTGTTCACATATTGATTAACCTTTGTTTCCGGTTTGGGTTTTGTGGATATGTGCGCAGGCGCGCACACAATATATATCTCAATCATTTGATGATTAGTAGGAATAATTCCAAAGAGGATATAAATCCAAAGAGAACTCAGTGTAAGAACAGAGCAAATATAATAATGAATACAGAATCTTTCAAAGTCCATTCAGGTGACAATTTTTTTCGTGGACTCGAAAGTCCATCTCTTCAGGCCAAATTTTACAAAATTTATTTTATTTTGTAAAATTTGGTCTGAAGAGATGGACTTCTGAGTCCACGAAATAAAATATTACCTGAATGGATTTGAAAGGACTATATATCTCCAGGTAAGATGAGAACGAATATAGTAAAATTCCATAGTTTGTAACATTTAATTTAAAAAGAGGGCTCAGTACAAAGTAAAGCAAACTCATTCAGTGAACTCAAAAACCTCAAAACGTCCGCTTGGTTCTATTGTGCACGCCCACTGTGAATATAGTTCGCTCTCAGGTAATGGTTATCAGCCCAGAAATTGAAATCAGCAAGCAGAGTTCAAATTCCGGGAAAGTTTGCCGTGTTCATTTTCGCACTAATGCCTTTAGGAAAAGGCATGAATCCATCTTCTCCCTCCCAGCTATGTTAAATGGTAGGATAAAAGGGGCTTAGTATCCATGGGTTTCAATCAGTTTAGGAGAACGATTTGAAATGCAAATAGTGGAGAAAGCATCAAGAAATCATTGTATTATCGTTCCTTAGAAGTAATAGCAATTTAAGAAAAACGAGTCCGCGGAGAGAGTATCGCCGACGTCCTGAAGTGACATTATATATATATATATATATATATATATATATATATAAAATAGTTGGCCACTCGTATTCGATGATACCCGTCTACTAGGGCAGCTATCCAATCAATATTGCAGACTCTTGCTCAGGCACATTTGTGTTCGTTCAACACCTACAGAGCCAACCTGTGGTTTATACTGCATCTATGCTGAGCAGACCTTAGTTACAGTTTCTGGGAGAGAGCGTGTTATCTAGAATTATAAACAAACTGAACAATACCAGCACACTCAAACCTTCGGTCACGATGACTTGTGACCGTGCTAGGACAGCTATCGACGGGCTACTAAGTGTTGCCTGAACCCAATGCCACTGACAAGGCCTGGGTCAACCCGTCGTATATTTTTCACAGGCATTTTCCAAAAGGTGCCGCAGGCTGGGATCGCCCCCCCTCCAGAAACCACTCGGCTACGCGCCCTATATATATATATATATATATATATATATATATATATATATATATATAAATAAAGAAATATAGTCTTAACATGTGCTATATTTATGGGATAAAGTGCTCAATATCAGAGATATAGCGTGTGTAAATATAAAAGTGAACATAGAAGTCAACACTTAGAGGCGACAGGTTGTTTCATGCTAGACACAAACTTCAGGCCACGAGTGCTGTTTTTTTGTTTATATATAACAATTAAAAATGTTAAAAGATTAAAATTTCAGACACACTGGGTTGTATATTAATATTTTCTTTTATTATTTAACTTGGGTTTCTCAGTAATTTCGACCAGCATGGCCATTATCAGGAGAGAAAAAAATCCTGCTTGTTAGTAGCAGTGAACTACGGGGTGAATGTCTCTAAAGAAAGTGAACTTTGCTTGCAGTTTTTTTATCGCTAATTTTTGGTCAGTCCTTGTATCGGTTTTTTCATGTTTTTTTTAAAGAGTGGCTGGGAGATTCATGTGTCGGAGATTTACCTCCTTAATCATTCTGACAACTTTATTGGTTGCTGGGAAGGAATTTGTGTTTTAAGTGTATGTTATCTTTTAGTTTTGGGAGAAATACGGATGGGTGGGGATGTTCTATGGGATTATATATTATTTCTATCTGTGCTGTTTAGTCAGTTTGTTAAGTCCGCCCGGACAAAGTATTTTTGGGGCGCAAAATCCATTTGTCTTCATGTTCTAGTATTTTCTTAAGTTTATCTTTTCTGTCTATTTCTATTCTTTCTATAGTGAATTTTGCATGCTTTTCTAGGCGGAAATATTCTACAGGTTTTTTGTGGGAAGCCGACTTGATCAGATTCCGATAATTATTAATTAGGGAAAGGACCATTCTTATTTTGCCACATACTGTCTCTGGCATAGTGTGCATTCTAATAAGTAAATTATTAGATGACTTGCACAGTTAGAGTTGTGGTAGATTTTGAAAGATTTTTAGTGACTGACCTAGTGAACGAAATGGTATGTCTAAATGTTGTTTACAACACGAGGTCCTTTTGTTGTTACATGGTTGGGAAAATTATATTGTTTTTATTCTTGGTCTATTATGGGTTACTTTATCGTCTGAAATTTGATTATCACCTATGATTTTCTCACGGTTCTTTTATCTACGATATTCTAAAAAGCCGGGTTCCCCAAACAAAGATTTTAGGTCTGGTTTGAGATGTAGTATTTCCCAGCGATTTTTTATCATCTGTTATGATAAAAGTGAAGTAGTATTGAAAATGGTTACTAGAGGTGGATACGTTTGGATTTATTTTTAATTTTATACTTGAAGGTGTCTTCTCTCGGTGTGGAGATTGCTTTATTTGTTCCTGGCTTAAGTTTATAACCACCTGTTGTGAATTGATTGCTTGATATTTTATAACAGCAACATTGTCCAAATCGTGTAATAGCATAATTGTCCATCCCATATAGTGTTTAATATGTAAAAAAAAAAAAAAAAAAAAAAAAAAAAAGAAACAAAAGTAAAACAATAAAACTAATTGACTTTCTTTTTTTCCAGGTTTTCAGATCAGACGTTTAGCCTTCTTGGTACCATTTGTCGTAAGAATCACTGAAAAACCCTTTGAGTTATTCATTTAGAAAGAGAATATGTTAAAATCGTTTTGTGTCAGTTCCACTGCATTCCTTATTGAACAATGGTGAGAGGAAAAAGATCATTCAGGCCTTCAATAATAGTACCAACATTTATACTCTAGCTTCCATCTTCAAAGTCCATTCAAAAACCATCAAGATAACGGTGAATAAGTTTAAAAAAGAGGGAACTGTAGAGAGGAAAACTGGATCAGGAGGTTGCATCATTTCAACGAGATCAATTAGAAAAGATCCAACTCAATAAGACGTTTGGCACGTGAGAGAGGAGTTTCAGCTATGACAGTCCAAAGAGCAGTAAAAAAAAAAAAAAAAAAAAAAAAAAAAAAAGAGACTTGAAAATGAAATCACACATGAAACGTGTGAGGCACATTGTTACTCCAGGACAGAAGGTTAGGTTAGAAAGGGCGAAGATCATCTTGAATAAATTGGAAAATGATCCTGGAAATATATATATATTTGAACTTTATTATTTCAATCCTTCACAACCCTCCTACCCTTAACTATGATTAATTAATGATGAACATGTCATTTTCGTTTATGATCGATTTCCTCACGATTCTTCTGTTAAGCTTTGAAAGCAATTATACATTCTTATTGTTCAGAGTAGAGTCCACTAGTTTTATAGAAATATTGGAGAATTTCACTAAGATATCTTTAATCATTTCTAAAATACTACGGTTCAAAGCTTAATCTAACAAATGGACAATTTATCTGTTACCACACACACACATTATATATATATATATATATATATATATATAGTGTGTGCGTAAAATACTGGTGAAGCCATCAATGTTTGAACCCATGGATTTTCTAGGCAAGCGCTATTTAGGAGGTGGAAATATCTTGAGAAACAGAAAAAAAATACCGAGTTGTTGTGCTATATCTAATCTTCCTTACGACAGTTAATATTGTACACTCTTCACAAATAAAGAGACAGAAATATAGTTCGAACGACGAAAGCTGAGAATACCATGGACTGAACATGTGAATAGGGAGGAAGTTTGAAAGAAAACAGGAACGACAAAAGAATCTGACAGTTACCATCTGAAAGCAGCTGCTGTTAATTTCTGGGATGCATAATGAAGAAGTTTAAAACTTACGAAATATTAAATGAAGGAGAAGCAGAGCGAGGTGAATAATGAATAACCCACTTAATGAATTTGAGTGAATGGACCACAAAACAAGAGACAAAGAGGGGGTGGTAAATGGTTAGAAGTTACTTATAAGCAACAAAAGACAATAATGTAAATGACCAATATTTTAAAAGGCGAACAGATACCAGAAAAGAGGTTTACCATGGTTTGTACAGCAAAACGGAAGGGAAGAAAAAAA